TTATAACCCTGGAGGGTGGGAAACCTCTGAAAGAGGCCATTGGCGAGGTACGTGGCTCCCAATTTTGTCTCTAGAAATGAAAACATTGTGCATATGCATTTTAATATTTGGAGCATTCAAAAACTTGTACAACACAGGTTAGCTATGGGGCGAGTTTCATAGAGTACTATGCTGAAGAGGCAAAACGTGTGTATGGTGACATCATTCCATCCACATTACCAGATCGAAGGTTGTTTGTTTTAAAGCAGGTGAGCGTGCCCTGATTTAAGTTTCAATTCCAATTATGCTATGAATCTCTTATAGGGCATTCTTTAATATATTGGTGCATACCTATCCAAGAAGACAGAAGCAAAGTGAAATGCTTGGTATGATTGTGTTTAATAAGGAAACATCCTTTGATTGAGAAACTATATTAATAAGGTTTGCTGTACATGGGATACTCTTTGGACACCTTAAATTACTTCCATGTTGCAACAAACTGATTGTTTTGGATACTCGTTTGCACTTTTTGGACATTTAGCAAACCCTCAAGCAACAAGCTTAAGACCAAAAAAAGGAACATGGCATGAACTAGCATTAATTGTAAATATTGTACTTCAGAAAATAATATTCTCTCTATAGCAAATGGGCTGAGCCTCGTAGAAAGTAATACATATATCACATTCTGTAAATGCATTTGTTTCTTTTAGCAACTGTAACAGTTAAACATTTTGCTGGTTAATATATTCTCACCTTGTTCTTCTCTTTTTTTTTTTTTTTTAATGGAAAAACTAATATCCTAAACTGGGAAACAAATTAGCCTACCAAATAACAAAAAGAATGTAATCCCTAATTAATTACAATTACTATAACTGGGTTTCTTTCCTTTTTCTTCTCTTGATCGTTTTCTACACTCCCCCTCAAGTTGAATAGGAGATGTTGACCATGTTCAAACTAATGAAATCATCAAATACTTGTCTAGATAGTCATTTTATGAATATGTCAGCCGTTTGTTCCTTTGTAGAAATATATGTCATGCAAATAATACCATTGTCCACTTTTTCTTTGATGAAGTGTCTGTCTACTTCTACGTGTTTGGTCCTATCATGTTGCACAGGATTGAGAGAAATGTTGATGGCTGCTTTATTATTACAGTAGAGTTTGATTGGGAATTCCATTCTAACCTTCAATTCTTCCAAGTGTTTCTTTATCCATAATCCTTCACAAATTCCTTTTGCAACAACTCTAAATTCAGCTTCAGCGCTGCTTCTAGCTACCACATTTTGTTTCTTGCTTCTTCAAGTTGTCAAATTTTCCCATACAAAGGTGCAATAGCCAGTGGTTGATCTTCTATCTTCAGTTGATCCAGCCCAATGTGCATTTGTGAATATTTCTACTCCTTTCCTCTCATTTTTCCCGAAGAATAGTCCTCTTCCGGTAGTCCCTTTTAGGTATCTGAGGATTTTATATTCTGCTTCTAGGTGAGCATCCTTAGGGGAGTGTATGTGTTGACTAACCAAGTTGACAGCGAAGGCGATGTCAGGTCTAGTGTGTGAGAGGTAGATTAACTTTCCAACTAGTCTTTGGTATTTGTCAATTTCCACAAGGCTTCCTATGTCTCTTGTTGCTTTTCCTGCCTCGATAGGTGTATCACTAGGTTTGCATCCCAAGTTACCAGTTTTCATCAACAGATCAAGGATGTATTTTCTTTGGGAAACAAAAATGCCCTTCCTTGATCAAGAAACCTCCATCCCCAAGAAGTACCGCAATTGCCCAAGATCTTTCACTTCAAACTCCGTTGCTAAACACTTCTTCAATCTTTCCATCTCAGCTATATTATCTCATGTTAGGATGATATCATCCACATATACAATTAAAATAATTATTGTCCCATCTGTGGATTGTCTGAAGAACATAGTGTGATCTGACTATCCTTGCTGATATCCTTGACTTCTCAGAATCGTTGCAGATCTATCAAACCATGCTCTAGGTGACTGCTTGAGCCCATACAAAGATTTCTTGAGTCTGCACACTCGATTTTCCTCATTAGATTTATTGAAGCCTGATGGTATTGTCATGAAACTTCTTTTTCCAATTCTCCATTGAGGAAGGCGTTCTTGATACCCAGCTGTTGAAGGGGCCAGTCTAGATTTACTACAAGTAACAAGAGGACTCTTAACTGTATTTAATTTTGCCACTAGTGCGAATGTTTCGTGTAGTCGATGCCATATGTTTATGTATATCCTTTGGCAATTAAACGAGCCTTGTAACGTTCTATTGTCCTGTTGGCCTTGTACTTTACATTAAAGACTCATTTACAGCGTACTGGCCTATTTTCTTTTGGTAGGTTGACCACTTCCCAGGTTTCATTTTTCTTTAAGGCTTTCATTTTCTCCATCACGGCTTTCCTCCATTTTGATACTTTTAAGGCTTCCTGAATATTCCTTGTAATTTATGTTTCATCAAGGTTAGTAGTAAAAATTAGAAATTCTGTAAATAGAGTATTAGAAGATATGAATTTTGAAATAAGATGTGAAGTACACGATCGTGTTTGTTTTCTCAAAGCAATAGGTAGATCGTCATTATTCTGAGATTGAGAATCATCAGAGGACTTCTCATCAGTTCCCAACATCAGTTCAGACTCTCTTGGTACCTCAGATGTGAGAGATACCTTGTATTTTGATTTAGGCTTACTTGAGTAAACCAGTATTTCCTTGTCACTTTGTTCTCCTTCATCTTCCCCTGAATTCAAGTTTCCTTCTATGTATGGCACTTTAGAGGGTAGGGTGACTGAATCAGTATATGGGATATCAGAGAGATCAAGGTCAAAGTTGAAGAACTCTATATTTGAGACCTGATCTTCTTTTGAGTTCTTCCCCTGAAGATGAGGTCCTGGAAAATAAGGTGTTTGTTCGAAGAATGTGACATCAAGACTAACGAGGACCCTTTTTTTAGATGGATCATAGCATTTGTAGCCTTTTTGAGTAGGGGAGTACCCGATAAACACACATTTGATTGCACGCAGTTCCAGTTTATTTCGATGAGCGGAGTGAACGTGTACAAATGCAGTGCTACCGAACACTTTTAGTGGTCGGTTTGAAAAAAGACGAGAAGTAGGGAAGAATTGTTTGAGTCTTCGTAGGGATGAGTC